CTGTGATTGGTTCAAAGCACAATCCTCAAAGATTGTGATTGGTGGTTAAGAGGGAAGGGTGATTGGTTCAAACAAATGATTGTTATTGGTTCAAACATTCCTTCTCAGGCCATAGAAGCAGTCAGTGCAAGGTTCCTCATGAATTAGTTGGGAGCCCATCACCCATGCTGCCTCTTTTGTGTTAGGCCCAATAAAATGGTTCTTTCAGTCTTGTTTTACCTTCTTTCAGTAATGTTGACTGAGCTGAAAACAGGAAGGGAGCAGCAACAGAGATTGTGTGGAGGGGCGACAACCATGTCAGTGACAGCAGAATGGCAGCACAGCTGAGTGTCCGTAGGTCAAGCTGTGAAAACTGTAAAGCAGCTGGCTTCTTGATAGCAGCTGAAGAAGTAGGCTTTGGGCCCCAGTGATCCCAGCCTCAGAGATGGCAGTGGGCCTACAGTGCCTGACTCTTGAGTGCAGGCCCTGCTGCCTAGCTATTGGAGAAGTATGTGGATAACTCAAAAGTGTCCAGGGCAGGAAGAAGAGAGCTAAAGAGTTAAGTCTAAAGAAGAATAAAAAGGTTGTAAATGATCAGACGCAAGAACCTGCACTGCAGGCCCTGGTTTCTAGGAGTGTTCCAGGAAGCTGTCAAGTCTCCTGGGATTTTAGGGCCAGGCTGAGAGCGTTATTACTATTATTTTAATATTTTATTATTATCATTATTTATATATGTGAGTATATATGTGAGTATATAAATAATGGTGTGTATACATATGTCTGTGAGTGTCTGGTCATGAGTGCCCTTGGAGGCCAGAAAAGTATTACATCCCTTGGGTGCTGGGAACTGAACTCAGGTCCTCTGAAAGAAGGCAAGCGCTGTTAACCACTGAGTTCCTGGACTGAGAGTTTTAACACTAACCATTACCAAGGGTTACGTGAAGATTTTTAATACTAGAGGCTGTCAATTGCCCTTGCTCCCACCTGCCTGATGTATCTGCTCACTCTGCCAAACATGAGAGAAACAAAAGCTGTTGGAGATGAGCATTTGAAGAGCTTCCCCTTGCCTGCTCATGATTCAGGGTAGAGCAAAGGGACTCCAAGTCAGCTGTGCAACACCTTCCTTGCACTTTTAGTCAACTGTTGTGAGAGAGAGAGAGAGAGAGAGAGAGAGAGAGAAAGAGAGAGAGATTCTTTGAAGAGAATGCACTAGTTACTTTTCTGTTGCTGTGATAAATGCTATGGCCAAAAGCAACTTAAGAAAGAAAGAGTTTGATTTTGGCTTAGGGTTCTAGGGGGAGGGTCTGTAATGGTGGGGGAGGCACCATAGCAGGTGGCCAGAACAGAAAGCCGAGGGATCACATCTTTAAATAAACATGAAACAGAGAGTGACCTGGAGGTGGAGTCAGGCTATAATCTCTCAATTTTGTGAAATGTATGTCTCCTCTTGTTTAGGCTTGTGAGAAAAAAAAGTAACAGGCAGAAATAAAGTAGCTGGGTGTGGTGGCACACACCTTTAATCCCAGCACTCCAAAAGCAGAGGTAGGCAGATTTCCACAGAGAAACCATGTCTCAGAAAAAAAGAAACAAAAGGAAGTAAAAGTAAAATAGTAGAAAAGCCACCTAAAGATGAAAAATGCACAGAGAATCTGGATACTATATGCCATATTGTTGTGTTTAAATTGTTTGATTGCCGCGGAAAGACTTACTGCTACTAAAATACATTTGATTATAAATGCTGCTAAATTAATCCAACTTATACATAAATGCTTTGATTTCAAAATTTAAGTCTAAGGACAGGCTACTTGGAAAGAAGTTTTTGCTTGTGTTTCCATAGAAAATGAAAAGCTGTGGATTCCTTCCACACTAATATGGTTTGACCCCCTGAAGCTGAGACGATACAGCCTTACAGACTACAAAAACAAGGACTTGGTCAGATTTCTGTTTTATCATGATCCCCATGGTATGGACATCTCCCTCAATCAGCAGGAAGCAGTTTAGAATGAACTACGCCCAAATTCCAAAATATTGTTTATAAATGTTTGTTTTCATTTAAATGGGGTTGGTTTTAAATAATAATGCATAGTCAATCTCTTTTTAAAGGTAAAAAATGGGAATAGGATATAGGAATGAATACTTTGCATTGGTATGGATTTTCATTTATTTATACAACTTTAAGGTCAATTTTATGATATGTATGTCTCCTCTTGTTTAGGTATTGTGTTTATACAGATCTTTTAGAATGATATGCATAATTAAATAAGGCTATATAGTCACTTATAATAGTCAGAACTTATAATTAGGTTAGTTAGGTTTTCTAGATATACAGAGATATATTTGAGATGGATAGGTATTCTTCAAATCTTTCAGACCTACAGAATATATGACATTTAAATGGTTTAGAGTTTTTCTTGGCAGTGAGACACAACTGCTCCTGGCACACCAATTATGTCAGAAAGGAAGATGGGCATTGAAGAAACTCATTATGGAGTTCACTTTCAACATGGCAAGATTAGCCATTTGGGCAAGAAACTGCTCTTGCCTGGACTGTTTGCTGCTGTATAAACTGGATATACAGGACCCACAAGAAAGTGACTGCTGAACTTACAAAACAAGACAGTATTGAAGCGTTCCTGTTGAAATGGAGAAGTGTGCCAGCCACACTGTAGCCCATGGGCTGAAGATGGATGCCCCAACATTACAGAGGAACTTTGGGTGACTGTCCAGGTAGCAAGATGTCTCTGTCAATTCAAGAGTTTATATATTATCCTTCTGTGGTCTTTGATAGAGTTGAAGACAGATAGTTATGGTTATAGTTTTCTTCAGTTATTATAAAAGATAAGTTATCCTTCTTTTTATTTAGACAGAAAAGAGATGATAGGGAATGAACTGTATGTTCATCTTATTGATTGTTGAATAAAGTACTGTTTGGCCAATGAGGCAGGAAGTTAGACAGGACTAGGAGTCAAAGAGGATTCTGGGAAATGTAGTAGAGAAGTGGTGATCCAGGCAGGAAGTGACATAGCAAGGAGACTCATACTTAAGGAAGGAGAAGTAGGAAGTGGTCCCTTTTTCCCCTCTGCTCTTCCTCCAGCGGCGTGATGTGATCCACCGGCAAGGGGGGTGGATCCAATGGAAGGCATCTTATAAAATAAGTCTTATAAAATATATAGGTTTATGATAATTAAGACAGAGCTAACAGATGAGAATCGTAGTCATTGGCCAAGCAGCATTTACACATAATATAAGTCTCTGTGTACTACTTGGGGCCCTAACTCAGCAGGCAGAACTCGGTGGCTTTTGATGAAAAGATTTATCGTAACAGATCAGTATTTACCCCTAGTACACAAATGAAATTTGGGAACCCTCTCCACATAGAGGGATAGTCTCTCAGCTTAGACACACTGGGGAGGGTCTAGGCCTGCTCCAAATGCTATGACAGACTTTGAAGATCCCCCATGGAAGGTCTCACACTCCCTGGGGAGCAGAAAGGGGTTGGGATGGGGGGATTGGTGGGGAGGATGGGAGGAGGGGAGGGAGAGGGGGAACTGGGGATGTCATGTAAAAGAAGCTTATTTCTAATTTAAATTAAAAAGAATAAAATGTAAGGAATCAATTTGAGTGGTAGAAGTGATGCTAAGTAGAGGATAGAGGAAACGGATAGGGATGTTACTTAGAATCTTTGTATATATTTATGTGTGTGTATAGAGTGTGGCATACATGGGTATATTTCTTCTTCATTGTTTGCACTTAACACAATATTAAATGTTTAAATAAATCTATGTAACTCTGAAAAGAATTGGACTCAGTTTTTTTTATAACTTTTTAAAATTTAAATTAGAAACAAACTTGCTTCACATGTCAATCCCAGCTCTCTCTCTCCCTCCCCTTCTCCCCCACCCCCAACTGCCCCAACCTCCCATCCTATCCCCCTCTGCTCTCCAGGGAGGGTGCGGCCCTCCACGGGGGATCTCCAAAGTCTGTCATATTATTTGGGGCAGGGCCTAGACCCTCCCCTATGTGTCCAGGCTGAGTGGACTCAGTTTTAAAAAGTTGCTGCTCTTCCAGAGAACCTGAGTTCAGTTCCCAGTGTCTATGTCACATGGCTTACAACTGCCTGTAACTTGAGCTCCAGGGGATGTGACAGTCTCTTTTGGACTTTTCAAGCACCCACCCACAGAATACACATAAATAATAAATAATAAAATACATATTTAAAATTGATCTAACAGAAACTTTTTCTTTATTAGTAGCAAGTTCAGATCCTTTGACATAGCAGCAGAAGATGGTCTAATACAGGACTCTTGTAAATGAGGTAGGGGAGCATGTTTGCTGGTTTGTGGTGGGAAGGTCACGGTGAGAAAGTGACACCTACAAACCAGAGAAGAAGTCTTCACTAGATACCAAATCAGGTTATACTCTGACCAGGACTTTCAGCTTCTAAAACAGATAGCAATAAACTTCTAAAGTATAGAAGCCATCCAGCTGTGATACTTTTGTTATATTCTTTTAATTGAATCAAGACCCTGTGGATTCTAGTGCCCAACTGGTATACTGGTTTCTATTTGTAGAATATAAGAATAACAGGGACTTGCTGAGAAGCAGAAGCATGGTTCAGTTACTCAGGTTTGTGAAAATTTCCTCAATGAACATAACAATGAATGGAGGGCCTGAGAAGTCAGGGGAGGAAGAAGATAAGATGGGCAGAGGTGACATAGGGAAGTGAAGAAGGAATGGGGTCCATGTTCCATGGCCTAATGAAGGATATAGGAAGGTGGTGACTATTGGGGCTCACTCATCTACATCTGCCTGGGAGACTTACTGCATATATAATAAAAGTGGACTCTGGCAGGTTTGGAAATAAGCACCATGTCTTGGGTTCTTTTTAAAAGTCTGAATGGATGAATGAAAGGAGATGAATGGCTGTGTGTTGGATTAAATCCCATGTCTTCAAAGAGTATGTGAGCATGCAGGGCTGATCCCACTTGCACTCAGAATAACTCTTTCCCCAACACAGGGCATTACAGCTCTGTGTGCTTGTTTTTAGCACTCTTCAGCTCTTGGATCTTCTGGGGCAGGGTCTTGGTCCAGAACTGAAACCTGTGGTCCTTCAGGGCACGGCCCATGCCAGGCTGCAGGTCCAGCTGCAGGTACTGCTGCTCCTGGTCAAATACTGGCCAGTAGAACAGGCCATCACCATTGGGGTTCCTGTTAACATGCCCTCCAAGCAGGGCGGGGTTGTGGTTACTCTGAGTCCTACTTGGTTCAGGTCAGGGCAATTAGCCAAGAAGGCCTTAGCATTGTGGGGACTTATGAAGGGGGAAAGTGCTCTGATCTAGAGAAGCAAGTTCTGCTCACTAGTATCTGCTCCACATACAGTAGGCTCCGCCTGGGAGAGGCAGGCTCTAAAGAACAGTACTATCACTGTCCCCATCTTCTAGATTACTGGGAGATGATTAGTGACTGCAATTCATTAGGAAATCCTTGTCTGAGTATGTTCTGGCATTGGGGAGGAGGCTGTCATGTGATGAAGGATTTATGTCTGTTAATGAGGCCACCACTTACAAGGGGAACCCTATGTAGGTACTTACCCCTGGGAGGCTGAGGGAGAGATGACTCCTTACCCATTTCGGGCAAAGTTAGCCCAGTACTTCATCATCATCTTATTCAGCATCTCCTCCTCCTCAGTGAGGTCAACTGTAGACAGGAGGAAGACAAGATCTCAGCTACCCCATTCAGCTGTCTTCCCATGGTCCATACTTGTCATCTCAGATATAGCCTTACCCTGGGCCCCAAACCTTGGTCCTTTCTCTCTTTACCACTGAGGATCTAGGATCTCCTCTTCCTCATTCTGCCTTTACATGACCCAGTTCCTACTCAAATCCACCTTGTGCTCATTCTTGAATCTGAAGGCCCTATTTCTATGCTATACTGGAAAGTTGTCTAGGGAACAATTATGCCTTTGAATCTCCTTTATTGGTTCTCATGTCAAACACTGTGGTTGGCCAGGGTGGGTGCAAGTAAGGGGGACACAGTTTGCAGTGAGAAAACGTGGATTCCAGTCCTGTTGTGGTCATTTGAGCTATAAGATGCACTCACCCGGTCTTAATCATTCTCTGTCTTAGTTTCCTCATCTGGACAGTGAGAGTAGTCACCTCCCAGCAGCCCAGTTCCTGGAGATTAAGGAAGACTCACTCTTGTTGCCACAGAAAGATCCAAAGACAAAAGGAAGCTCATCTGCATGGTCAGCCTTCACATGGGGTGGCTTGATATCCTTGAAGAAGTTGGGCCGATGCTGGAATTCGTAAAAGTAGACAGGTGCATGGGAACCTGGGGGTAAAGACACACGGCGATATAGTGACTCCTTCCGTAAAATTCTTCTTCTTCATCCATCATTACAAGATAGCTGGCTGGAATCCAGTGGTGAGAAGGTGGAGCCAAGACTGTGGTTCAAGGTTTTGGTTAAATCATGACCTTGGCTTTCTTAGCTGGGTAATTTAGGCAAGTCAGAGGATATCACTAACCTCATCTGTAAAATAAGGGAGATACTGGGCACTTGGAGTAGTATAAAGATTTACAGAAATAAAGATCATCAAATGACTGGTACAAGGATGTAGTGATATTTTGTTTGTAATCTAACAAACAAAGCTTGTCTGAAGATCAGAGAAGCAAAGCCGCCAGCCACTAGAGTAGAGTCCTCACTTTTACCAAAGCTTAGACTGAGGGGGAAATCCACCAAAACTCAGACTGCAATGCTTTCCACCAAACCCCAGACTTCCTGAGACTGCACTGAGCTCCTGCCTTACATTCCTCTCTAGTGCTGGGATTAAAGATGTGTCATCCCAAGTGCTGGGATCAAAGGTATGAGCTCTGTTTCTCTTTTAGAATGATTCACTCTCATGTTGCCCAGGGTGGCCTTGAACTTTTGAAGATCCATCTGCCTCTGTCTCTTGAGTGCTTGGATTAAGAGTGTGGCCACCACTGCCTGTCCTCTATTGGCTAACTAGTGGCTTAGGTGTGTAGCTAACTAGTGGCTTAGGGTGTGTGTGTGGCTAACTAGTGGCTTAGCTCTTAACTAGGTGTGTGACTAATTAGTGACTTATCTCTGCATTCTGATCTTCAGGAAAGCTTTATTTGTTAGATTACTAACAAAATATCACTACACCAGGAATCCAATAAAGACATGAGTAGGGCCAGGTATGGTGGCTCCTTCCTATAATTACAGTATTTAGGAGGTTGGGACAGGCAGTTTGCCATGAGTAATGTGGGCCACAGAATGAGATTCTATTTGACATGGATGGAGACCTGGATACCATAGTGTTCAGATAGGATCTACAGCTCTGAGCTGGCCCTTAGGCATCAGGCTCAGTTCCAGGTGTGCGTACATTGAAAGTGTGCTGTTTGTAGTGCAGGGATCACGAAGGTGGTGTCTGCCATCATCTCAAGGAATTGAGCTTGGAGGGTCTGGGGATCCTTTGTGTCTTCCATGTATTCCTCCATCAATAGGTCCCCAAACTCTGGAGGTAGCATCTGGTTCAGGGGGACCAGGGAGAGGCAGTTAGGCAGAGTCTGGGGCAGGGAGGCAACAGCTTCAGGGAGGGAGATAGGGCCTGATACATATACATATACATATACATATACATATACATATACATAGACATAGACATATACATATACATATACATACACATATACATATACATTTACATGGATGTGTAGGAAGAAAGGTCCAAATTCATGGTTCTTCCCACTGATAGACTCAAATAGGAAAATAGGAACTCATCCTAATTTTATGAGCATCAGCTTGGGCAAGTATCTGACAGCTCCCTGTTCATTATAGACCAACACCAGGAGATTTTACCAACTGTACTGATAAATTCCGCAGATGATCCTGCAGGGTCTCCCTGTCCATTTCCTTCATGGTGTCAGAGATGTTCATTCCCTGGGAGGCAGGGGGAAGGTCTTGAGTTGGGGTTGAATGACTTTGTGGTCCAAATCCCTACCATCCTCCCAGGGCTTCCCAGGCTTGAGGACATAGAGGAGGACCTCACTGTGGACAGTAACCAGCCAAATTCATCATTGTTGACACCAATGATGCTGGTGACAGGTTGAAAGTCAACAGAGGCCAGCAACTCCTGTGGGTGTCTGGGCAGAAAGTCTCCATCCACAACACCATGGATAGTTCTGAAAGCCTGAGGGGACATTTAAGGTCAAGCAACAATGTCATAATCTGGATATTTTCTGGGTGCTTATATCCATTCCTGTTTCATCCCTAAATCCCATTCTAAATGGTCTTCTAGTTCCATATGCCTGGGCTGTCAGTTCACACCCAGTACCGTCAAACAGTATGGGCCTAGAGGTGAGACATGTGCATGAGAAGTTGAAGGTCATGTAAGCCTTCTGCCCTATATGCTATGTCCTCTCTTTCTCCTTACCCGTGACCGTTAGGCCTAACCTTGTTGATAGCAAGTATTTCCTCTTCACTCTTGCCCCGTAAGCAGTTCACCAGGGACTCTGAGTCCACCTGCTCACATCTAGACAGGTTGGCCACAATCTGCAAAGGAACCAGGACAGGATAGCTTTTCCTTCTAGTCAAGGTGGTAAGAAATTGGAGTACTCAGCAAATCTCTTTGGGCAGGTATGAAATTATTACAGCTTCCCTGATGCTGAGAAGTGACACCCAGAGGAACTGCCCCACCTACTCACAGGATCCTGAAAACAATGGGGGTGTTATGGGTATAGTTTGCTGGCCCATGTAAGAAATAGCCCATGTGACGGAACAAGGGGGAGGTCTTGGTCCCCACGCTGATAGCTGGGAAACTAGTATGGGACTGATCCAGACGCTATGAACGTGGGTGTCAGTGAGAAGACCTCAGAAATCTATGGGGCCTCTTGTAGTAGATCAGTACTTATCCCTAGCATAGGAATGGACTTTGGGAGCCTGTTCCACATAGAGGGATACTCCCTGAGCCTAGACACATGGGGATGGGCCTAGGGGCCTATCCCAAAGGATATGACAGACTCTGAAGACCCCCCTCATGGAAGGCCTCACCCTCCCTGGGGAGCAGAAAGGATAGGTAGGGTGTTACTTGGGGGGCAGGGGAGGAGGGGAGAGAGAGGGAACTGAGATCGATATATAAAATAATCTTGTTTCTAATTTGAATAAAAAAATGGAGAAGGAAAAGAAATAGTCCATGTGAGACATGGGGTGTAGGTTCTGACCCTTGAGGCCCTCAGCAATTCTCAGGACGGAGAGAGTAGAACTTGGTTCTTGTTATCTCCAGAGAAGACAGAAAATGAGAGGCTCTGGGGGAAGGGTTGAGATGGTGGACCAGAGCTGGGATGGTAGAGGGCACTCACTTTGTACATCACTTCAGAGGTGTTGGAGATAAGGTCAGGCATCAGGGCCACTCCGCTCTCCATGATGGCTCCATGGAAGAGTCCTTGGGACATGGGGGACACAACATGTGAAGACACACTTGTGGCTCCTGCAGACTCTCCAAAAATAGTGACCCGGTCAGGGTTGCCTCCAAAGTGGGCGATATTCTGCTGGACCCAGCGTAGGGCAGCCACTTGGTCCAGGTAGCCCCAGTTGCCTCTGGCATGTTGATCTCCAGTGCTGAGAAGGGGTAGAGACATGAATCACAGGGCTGCCTTTTTTCTGTTCATCCTGTAATGCACAGCACAGGCCAGCCCCAGACTCACCTGAAGAAGCCCAGGACACCCAGGCGGTACTGAATAGTGACCACCACCACGTCCTCCGTAGCTGCCAATATGGATCCATCATACAAGGAAGCCATACCTACAACCAGTGCACCACCATGAATCCACACCATCACCTAGGAAATCAAGACAGACACCATTTGGTTCTTTCCTGGCTCAACACTATCATGGCTAACACTCTTCTGTAGCTAAGGTGTCATGATCTGTGCCTAGATGAGGAATCCAAGTTCAGTCTGCAAAACCAGGCCTCTTAACTTGCATCATAGCTTGGTTTTATCACTCCCAGAAACTCTCTTAGGTGGAAAGAAAGGGACGTCTTCCTAAGAATACTATATTAAAAACAATCATGTCTTTGCTATTGTTATTGGCTCAATAGATAACTAATGACTGGAGTATTTGGTGACCTCAAATTGCAGTACTTAGGTAGTTTCTGAGTTGGTTTCTTTTTTCTTTTCTTTTCTTTTTTGAGGCAGGGCTTCTCTGTGTAGCCCTGGCTGTCCTGGAACTCGCTATATAGACTAGGCTGGCCTCGAACTCATAGAGATTTGCCTGTCTCTGCCTCCTGAGTGCTGGAATTAAAGGCATGCTCCACCATTGCCTGGCCTGAGTTGGTTTCTTTAAAAATTGTGTGTGTGTGTGTGTGTGTGTGTGTGTGTGTGTGTGTGTAGGCTTTCCATGTGTGGAGGTCAGAGGACATCTTTCTGGAGTTGCTTCTCTCCTTCTACTTTTATGTGGGCTTGTGGGTGTTGAACTCAGGTCACCAGTCTTGCATGGCAAGTACCTGTGCCATCTCATGGGTCTGTGAGTTTCTTTGGTCTCTTGTTTGAGAATTAATAGAATGAGTTCTTAGTACACTTCATGAACATATCTTCTGACTCCTGGAGCCATCAAGGCTCTGTGTTCCTATACCCATGAGTCAGTGGCCTACCCTGATTGAGAAAGCCGTATTGTACTCCATACAATAAGGAGAGGATTTTCATGAAGGTCAATACTGTAGCAGGGTCCATGTTAATCTTGTTCCTTCTAATATTCCTTCAGGAAAAATGTTCTCTTATTCACAGTGTACCATGAAATGATACTTACAGGCAGGCTAGAACCCTCATGGGCATGGGCTGGTGAGTAGATGCTGAGGTAAAGGCAGTCTTCAGACATAGAGATAGAAGGTGGAGTCAGATTCAACAGGGCCATGACCAGTCCATTTATTTTGTCAGCTTTTTGAAGACACCTGGTAACAATGGTAGTTATTCTAGGAACTGCACACTACTCAAACTAGATCCTAGATTGGCTGCCAAGTACATTCATACTCCTCACTCCTTGATGTCTGGTTCACCATGATCCTTCTCTAAAGTCCCTTCCCACCAGTTCAAGTATCAGCCTCTAGGGAAACTGAGATCGAGCCCAGCCTTACAAAAAGACTCCATGGTTTTGAGGGCCTTGAACCCCACTCTTCATGAGGATAGGAAACTGTGACTCAGTATTCTATGTGGGAGTCACTGGATGCAGGTGACAGTCACTGCTTCTTCATTATCCATTCAGGCCTGTATATAGGATGTGCCCCCAGTACCCACCCATCCATGAATGAGTCGAGTTTAATTTTTCTATATGCTAATGGGACTCACCTCATCCTCAGTCCAGGGATTCTCATCTGTCCTATCATTTCCAGGTTGAGTTATGTACATTTGTGATAGCACTGGCCCTGTTCAGTGGTATAGAACCCAAGGACCCACCACTGATGTCCTTCTCAGGATCATGCTGTATCTGCTAGTATCCAGGGGCTTTTCAAAGCTGGTAGAACCACCCAGATTTCTTGCAGATACTACCTCTCTTAGTGGCAGGAAACACTAGGTACTGCTCTAATCATAGTACATGTGTGTCTGCTCATGTCTTTAATATCTGTGGATGCTAGGCCCTGTACTATGAGTCTGGCAAGGTTATTCTAACCTGTGAACCTCAACACAGTCATTGGACAATGTACATGGGAATTCAGGGAAGAATGGCTGCAAGTATCCCGTGGCTCAGATCTCTTGCTCACCTCAGGGACTAAAGTCCCTTGAACTCCTGGAGAACTTACATGGCAGGGTGAGAAGTCCCATCCCTCACACCACTCCATGGTTCAGGAGGCTCTGGGGGTGCAAACCGCAGCAATCCCAGAGGTGGCTTGGCGAAAGGGATTCCCAGGAAGGTATGGACCCCTACATCAGTGCCCTTCACATGGACGAGGCTGCCTTGCACCTGCCCTGTGTGTGTTGTCCTGATGGGTCTGGCTGAGTCTTGGCCTGTGGGTGGAGAGATACTATCAGGGTTGGGTCTTCCCAGTCAGTAGCTACAACACTTGGGGTGTTGATGCTCTTTTGTCACCCACAGCTTAGCCATGCCACCTGGCCCTGTTCTGCAGTTACTGACATCATGCATTTCCTTCCTTCACCTGGTGTGCTGCCTCCACCCTTTGCTTTTTGGTTATATTTATATGAAAACTTCAAAATTTCCATGTTAATTTCACACAAGGAGGTTAGTTTTGGATGTGAATGTCTGATGATGGGGGTTGTGTTTTATGAAAGGAGAATTGAAGTGGTGAATTCTGAGAATATATTTAAAAAAACTGAAATATATAGTGGGTACTATATATTAACCCTAGCAGAATTTGATGGCCTTTCTGGAGGAGTTAGCACTGGGTGTATCTTCAACCCCTGACCTCACTATAAGGATTCCTAATGTGGGAACCAACTTTTCCTCTAAAACCAGGAAATACTGGATCAGTGAATGCAATGGGAAACTTGATGGAAGAGCCTTTCACTGAATGAGGTGGAGAGACTTGACTTTCCAGGGTAACACACGAGGATTCTCAATGCAGTGGGTACTGAAGTCCATTCTCCAAGAGTCTCAATCATTTTCACTTGTTGAAGGCTCCTCTTCTTTCCATTTTCCTAGTTCTTGTTATAGATAGAAATAACTCTATAACATAACAGATATTACCTCATATTATTCCCTAAACAATATAGGATAAGAACTTCTACACAGCATTCATAAATGGCATTATAGGACTCCTAATTATTCCTATAAATAGATTCATCAGAGAAGCTTCTTTTTGCAGTGGATGGTAATTAACACAGACCCACAATTGATCAAAGTGCAAAGATTGAGACTGTGGAATTCTCAGCCTTAAACACGACATCTACAGGGGTCATTGCACACCTTACCTGAGCTTTGATTAAGGATCTGGCAGGAAAAGCACATCACTTTTGCCATAATGGTCAAGCTACACCTTTGCCCTATGTCAGGTATACATTGTGGAGGGAATCAGATCAATGGCAGGACACAGTGCAGGAGATTTATGTGTCCTCTAAGAATGACAATCCTGCATGGCTCTCCTAGGATAGTGCTGGAGTGCTTCTGTGTCCAAGGGGGAGCCACATTCAGAGGGTAATCATAGTGTGAAGATATCATTGTTCCCACTTCAGACAGTGACAGCTCCAGCCACAAAAAGGAGGAAAAGGTTCCAAGTCCCACCTCTCCTGCCTTATTCCTGGCTTATTGATCTTCCCAGCTCTCCCAGCTCCTCCCAGTCGCCTTAATCGGCTGTCTACTCAGTGCTGGGTGTCTTTATTTGACCCCTCACTCTGCTGTATTAGAGACCCATCTTGAGCACTTTGGACACATCAGATGGGTGCAGAGCTCCTACCATTTCCCCCCTCTGTCTCCCTAATGCCTCCCATCCATCAGTCTTGAGCTCTGTATCTGAAAAGTTTGGCAGGTCTGACCCAAGTCCCTGTCTCCTCCTTCAGAAAACTCACCCTGTATCTGGAAGAGGAGAAGCAAGAGCCCACAGGCCGTTGCAGTTAGCTTCTCACAGAGCGGATTCAGCTTCATGTTAGATTGGTAGCCTTGTGACTGTGATGCCATGGAGTGCTGCTTCTGCGGTCATGGGCAGGTCCCAGTGTGTTTCACTGGTAGGTAGCTGATAGTTAGGGTTTCATCCAGGTAGGAGTTTGGACTGGGCAGGGCACAGGCGGAGCTCAAGGTAGGGCTCGACAAGATGAATGCTGCACAAGGACAACACTGATTGTGTAGAGGCCGCTGGTAAAGATTAGAGCCAGTGCTCAGTGCAAGGTCAGGTGTGGTTATTTTGCTTCTTCTGTCCCCCTTGGTCTCATTCAAAGGTGTTACACAGCTTCTGCCATTCCTTGGATGTTCCAGTCACCCTCTGCTTAGGCCCAAAGCTACTGAATTCCTTACCTTCTTTGCAGTCTTGGTCCCGGTGAAACAAATAAACTATTGGGATAAAGAGGAGGGGGCAGAAAGTGTAATTGGAGGATCCAGAATGACCTCTCTGAAGAGGTCAAAAGCAATGCCCTTTACTATGTTCCTCTTTTAGGTGGCTACACTTTTTTTCCTTTTAATTCTTTTAAAAATTGTTCTCTCATATATTACATCCTGACCACAGTTTTCCCTCTCTCCCCTCCCCCAGCCTCCTCTTACTGCCTCCCCTTCCCCCCAGATCCACCCCGTCTATCTCCCCTGAAATAAGTAGGCCTCCCAGGGACATCAACCAAACACGGAATAACAAGCTACAGTTAGGACCATACACTCACATCAAGGCTGGACCAGGCTACTGAGTAGGAGGAAAAGGGTCCCGCAAGTATGCCAAAAAGTCAGAGATAGCCCCCACTTCACTGTTAGGAACTCTACAAGAATACCAAGCTACTCGGCCATATCACATAAGCAGAGGACCTACGTTAGACCCTATAGGCTCCCCGATCTCTGTGGGCCCCTAGAGTCCCAGTCAGTTGATTGTGTGGCCTGTGTTCTCTGGTGTCCCTGACCCCTCTGGTCCCTCAGATCTTTCCTCCCCCCTCCTCCACAGGACTCCCAGAACTCTGTTTAATGTTTGGCTGTGGGACTCTGCATTTGCTCCCATCTGTTGCTGTATGAAGTCTCTCTGGTCTCTTTGATGACAATTCTACTAGACTCTGGTCCCAAACCTTCTGCAGGCAGAACTAACTATAGGTTGAAGGTTTTTGTGGCTGGGCTGATGTCCCAGTCCCTCCACCTGAGGCCTTACCTGGTTACAGAAGATGGTCAGTTCAGGCTCTGTGTCCTCCATTATAGGAGTCTTTGCTAGGGTTACTCTCATAGAGTCCATGGAGTTTTCATTGTTCTAGGTTTCCACCTTGCCCCTGAAGTGTCCCCCAATTCCAGTCATTTCTCCCAGTATTTTCTCCCCCACACCTGCTTGATCCTTCCAGTTGCCAACCTCACCTGTTCAGAGTCCACTGGCAAAATTGGTTCTATTTCTCCTTCCCAGGGAGATCCTTACACCCCCACCCCTAAGCCCCTCTTGTTACTTAGCCTCTCTGGATATGTGGACTGTAGCATGGTTTTCTTTTACTTTACAGCTAATATCCACTTACAAGTGAGTACATACATAACATTCATGTTTTCTTTCTGGATCTGGGTTACCTCACTCAGGATGATTTTTTTCAAGTTCTATCTATCTGCCTGCAAATTTCATGATATTGTTTTTAACAATATCCCGATACTCCATTGGTTAAATGTGCCCAATTGTTTTTATCCATTCTTCAGGTGGGGGATGTCTAGGTTGTTTCCAGTTTCCCGCTATTACAAATAGAGCTGTTATGAATGTAGCTGAACAAGTGTCCTTATGCATCATTTGGGTATATGCCTAAGAGTAGCATAGCTTGAGGTAAATTGAGTTCCAGTTATCTGAGAGAACACCATATTGATTTCCAAAGCCTCTACAAGTTTGCACTCCCACCAGCAATGGAGAAGTGTTCTCCTTACCCTACATTCTCACCAGCATGAGCTGTCACTTGTGTTTCTGATCTTAGTCGTTCTGACAGGTTAAGTTGGCATCTCAAAGTCATTTTGATTTGCATTTCTCTGATGGTTAATAACATTGAACATTTCTTTAAGTGTTTCTTGGCCATTTGAGATTCCTTTGTTGAGAATTCTCTGTTTAGAAGCCCCCCCTTTTTTTTTGTTTATCGAGACAGGGTTTCTCTGTGTAGACGTGGCTGTCCTGGAACTCTGTAGACCAGGCTGAACTCGAACTTAGGAATTTGCCTTCCTCTGCCTCCCAAGTGCTGGGATTAAAAGTCTCAAAAAAATCACACAAAGGCTTATATTAATTGCAAACTGTTTGGCTTATTGCTCAGGCTTATTACTAACAAGCTTTTACAACTTAAATTAACCAATAATTCGTATCTATGTTTACCTACATGGCTTAGTACCTTTTCTCAGTAAGGCATTATCTCTCATCTTGATTCCTCTGCATCTGGCTGGTGACTGTATCTCTGCCTTCCTTTTCCCAGAATTCTCCTAGTCTGCTAGGCCTGTCTATACTTCCTGCCTGGTTACTGGCCAATCAGTATTTTATTAAACTAACAGGAGTGACAAATCTTTATAGTGTACATGAGCATTATACCATATCAATACAGGTCTTTCATTTGCTTGGTTAGTGTTATCCCAAGATATTGTGAAGGCTGTTGTTTTCCAGTTTTCTTTCTCAGTTCATTTGCCTTTGGTAGATAGAAGGGCTAATGCTTTTTTTTTTTTTTTTTTTTTTTTTTTTTTTTTTTAGTTAATCTTGTATACAGCCACTTTGCTGAAGGTGTTTAACACCTGTGGGAGATCCCTGGTAGAATTTTTTTGGGTTGCTTATGTATAACTACCATATCATCTGCAAATATTGATACTTTGACTTTTTCCTTTCCAATTTATATCCCTTCGATCTCATTTAGTTGTATGATTAGTTTTAGCTAAAACTTCAAGTAATATATTGAATAAATATGGAGAGAGTGGACAGCCTTGTCTTGTTCCTGATTTTAGTGGATTTGTTTTGAGTTTCTCTCCATTTAATTTGATGTTGGCTATTTGCTTGCTGTAAATTGCCTTTATTATGTTTAGGTATGTCTTTATCCCTGCTCTCAACAATACTTTTATCATGAAAGGGTATTGGATGTTGTCAAGGACTTTTTCAGCATCTAATGAGATGATCGTGTTTCTTTTTTCTTCAGTTTGTTTATATGGTGGATTACATTGACAGATTTTCATATGTTGAACAATCCCTGTGTCTCTGGGATGAAGCCTACTTGATCATGGTGGATGATCTTTTTGATGTGTTCTTGGATTTGGTTTTTGAATATTTTATTGAGTATTTTTGCATCAATGTTCTTGAGGGAAATTGGTCTGTAATTCTCTTTCTTACTTGTATCTTTGTGTAGTTTGGGTATCAGTTAGACTGTGGCCTCATAAAAAGAGTTTGGCAATCTTCCTTCTGTTTCTTTTTTAGTGGAATAATTTGAGGAGTATTGGTATTAGGTCTTCTTTGAAAGTCTGGTAGAATTCTATGCTAAAACTGTCTGGCCCTGCATTGTTTTGTAGCTGGGAGACTTTTGATGACTGCTTCTATTTCCTTAGGGCTTATAGATCTATTTAAATTGTTTATCTGATCTTGATTTAACTTTGTAAAGTGCTATCTATCAAGAAAAAATGTTTATTTCTTTTAGATTTTCCAATTTTGTGGAGTACGGTGTTTGAAGTATGACCTAATGATTCTTTGGCTATCATTGGTTTCTGTTGTTATGTCCCCCTTTT